TGCTTCATGAGGTTCATTATTCAACTTGTTCACTCTACAAGGGTTTATAATTGTTGGTTAGACACTTCGTTTTCTTCTTTCGGATTGGAAATTCGCTACATTAATAATCGATTGTCCGTGGCTCATGTTTGAACGGGTCAGTGCAGACCTGTGTGTGTGTGTGTGTGTGTCGATTGAGGGTTTCTTTAAAAAGATAAGCACTTGAGTTTGAAGAGGTTCATCGAGTGCACAGTTGCATTCATATTTTCCATATGCTCTCCCTTTTGAGGGTGTACGACAGTTTTTCATAATTGAATGATTGTATTACTGTTAGTACTATTAGCCAGTTCTTGATTAGGCTTGTGTGATTTGTGTTCAAGCACGTTTCCTAACTCGAAAATTGTAGCCGAGTATTCACTTTTCAAATCCGAAATTCGCAGTTGATTTTCTTACTCAGCTTGTTTCATCTCGGTTCACCAGCAGCTATTCCTGAACGCATTATTGTATTGATGTTTTCACAGGGTACGGTAGAATCTGTATGTACTAGTTTACAGACGTATCTGGTCGCAGCGGACTCAATTTATTACCCTCGCGGAAAGTTTACTGTAGACGCCTGTGATGAGAAAAAGACTGTACCCGTTGGTATACTGATTACATGCGAGCAAGTTTTGGACGTATGCTGGAAGTTTTTATGCCAGTACACCTATTCGGTCACCCGACGTGCTGCGGGTTTGTGGCCCGCGGTGAAAGCAGCCCTTTTGGCGGAGCGGGCACGCGGTTCGCGAAATATGGTAAGTGCACAGGGTCCAGGATGATTTGTTTTCTCATTCTTCTGATAGATTGAAATTGCGCAGGATGTAAATATTGCTTTGTGTCGACTTAGATGTATGTTCGGACAGTGAAATCTTTCATTCATTTGAATCAAGTCAAGTCAGACAGCTCAAGAAACGCTTTGCTTAATTCAAGGGTGACTTCTTAGTAATTTACCAATTTGTAATATATTCAAACAGAGGCACATTAAACAGAAATAGGTTCGATACTGCAGTACCGGAAAACAAGTTTTAATACAATGGTTTCTTCAAGGTTGGTGACCATAATCATCCGATTAACCAAGAGACGGACCATGCACGGAGTACGACTGCTTCCGCATGCGAATATGCGTGCAAGAAGGAGTTGGCATTTAGAGCGACTTCGGTCATTTGATACCGCCATCATGAATTCGAGGTACAGATGTCGCCCTTGGTCAATGAACTTATC